GACTGATTGGCGACCGCAATATGACCATGACTTATACTTTTGAAGCTGCACCCTGTCGCCGCTCTATGTTATTTGCATGTTTCATATCTTATATGAAACATCCAATATGAACATGGTATACCGCCATTTATTAGAGATCACGTGGTCATTTAGCTCTTATCGAATGTGCTTCTTATAATAGCCATAGGACAAGGGTAACGGGAGTACGCTGCTATTATTGGCTGATTTAATAGTTAATTTTAATAGCTTTAATAAAAGTTATGTATGGTTAGTAGTTAAAACTGTGTGGGCTAAAATTAGTTGTATTCAGTATGTACCCCACGCGTGGGAACAGGCCTCTTCTCATCACTGAGAGAGTTTTAGAGCAAGGCCATGTAGGCTGCGAATGATTTTCCTTTCCCGAAAAAAAAGGAGAAATTAAAAATATTTTATTACTTTCTCAGACATGCAGGTTTCCTCGCAATGTTTTTTTTTATAGAAGAGGGGACAAACGAGCATGCGGCTCACCTGATGTTAAGTGACTACCGCCGCCCATGATCAACCGCAACACCAGGGGAATTGCAGGTGCGTTGCCGGCCCTTTAAAAAGGAGTAAGCTCTTTTCTTGAAGGTCCCCAGGTCGTATCGGTCCGGAAAAATCGCCGGTGGTAAACTATTCCACAGAGAGGTTGTACGCGAAAGAAAACTCCTTTTGAAACGTACTGTGGTGGACCGCCAAGCATACAGATGGTGTGGATGGTATCGGGACGTTTGCCGCGTAGTGCGTTCACGAAATTTGGCGGCTGGGATTAATCCGAACAATTCCTCAGAGCACTCTCCATGGTATATGCGAAATAAAATGCAAAGAGATGCAACATGTCTTCGCAGTGCCAGTGAATCGAGCCGATCGGAAAGCACTCGGTCGTCGACGATTCGAGCCGCTCTGCGCTGGATGCGGTCAAGTGGAAGGAGCTGGTACTGGGGAGCCCCAGCCCAGAGATGGGAACAGTATTCCACGTGCGGCCGAACCTGCGCCTTGTAAAGTCGCAGGCGGTGTGCCGGCATGAAATATTGTCCCGCTCTGCTGAGCACGCCAAGCTTTTTAGAGGCCAATTTGACCTTCTCTTCCAAGTGACCACGAAACTGCACGTCACTCGATATGTCAACGCCGAGGATTCCGATACTGGCTGAGGCAACAAGGGGAGTGCCTTGAAACTGAGGAGATACGACAAAGGGGTTCCTTTTAGCGGTTAACGCGCAAACTTGTGTCTTCTGGGGGTTCTTCTTCTACTTCTGGACTACATTTTGTCGACCCCAATCCGAGACTCTGTTCAGCAAAGACTCGACTTCAGACACAAGTTTGTCCCGGCACTCGGAGACGTTTTCCCGAGAAATATTGGCTCGGCCGGTGTAAAGAGCATCACCAGTGCTGTCATCTGCATAGCAATGAATGTTACGGGTTTGCAACATATCATTGATATGCAGAAGAAACAGCGTTGGCGATAGCACGCAGCCTTGTGGAACACCAGCATTAATTTTATTTTATTTTTTATTTTATTTTATTTATTAAGGAACAGCAAACAGCTACAAAATACAGTAATATCTAAAATAAAATAACATGATGTATTCACAATAATGTAGCCCACAACGCTATCCACATATTAATTACAATGTTAATTAAATTGTCGCGGACGCTGAATAAAAACTTTATAACTAAAAGCTAAAAAACAAAGAGCCAAAATAATATTATTTTTACATTTTTAGTTTTTCAAATATAGATCTTTTAAAAGCAAGAATATTCGGTGTAAACAAATCTATGTCACCATCATTGAAAAACTCGTTAAAAGAATGCATCATACGGCGAACTGGCGCGCGCGAGCCGGTATTTGTACGACATGTACTGACGGCGAACAAGTTACGAGCGCGCACAGCACGTATATGAGCACTTCTAGGAACTACGAAATTTAAATTGGAAACTAACTCAGTACTGCTAAATTTGTTGTTTACTATTTTATACAATGTTATAGCTTCAAGATATTTACGTCTACATTCAAGCGACAAAACACCAAACTCTCTCAGCAATGGGATACGAGACAAGTAAGATTTATGGCATCTATAGTACATGGCACGCAAAAACTTATTTTGGACTTTCTCAATAGCTTCTTTGTATACTTTATAGTAGGGATTCCATATAGGTACAGCATATTCAAGCTGGGAACGAACAAGAGTTTTATAGAGGTATAAGTATGTGGTAGTTCGTTTGAAGTCAGTAGAAGATCTCATAACAAATCCGTACATTTTAAAAGCTTGTTTGACTATCTTATCAATATGGATGCTTAGTTGTAGCTTAGAGTCCAACTGAATCCCCAAATCCCTTACGTCTGTCACTTTGGCCAAGGACTTTTTACAGAGGATGTAATTAAAACCGACAATATTTTTCTTTTTTGTAAAGTTTATATAGTGACATTTTGGAATGCTCAATTGTAATTTATTAATGTTGCAATATGTTGTTAATCTGTCAAGATCGCTTTGGAAAGATATACAGTCTTCTATGTTTTTAATAGTTTTGTAGGCTTTCAGGTCGTCGGCATATAATAGGAAATTGGAGTTAAGAAAACATTTATCTATATCATTAACAAAAATAATAAATAACAATGGTCCAAGAATGGATCCTTGAGGAACGCCCGATGTAACCAAAACGTTCCTTGACTGATATCCATTTACTACAACTTTTTGGGAACGGTTTTGAATATAAGATGCAAACCAGCGCAGCAAATTACCACGAATACCATTGAATGCAATCTTGTTAAGAAGAATCTCATGATCCACCTTGTCGAAAGCTTTCTTAAAATCTGTATATACAGCATCTACTTGAAAGCCTTCATCAACTCTTGCAAATAAATTATTCGTAAAGGTAAGTAGATTACTAGTGGTAGATCTATGTTTAACGAAACCATGTTGTTCTTCAATGATAGCCCTGTGTAGAATCGGGTAAATTTGGTTGTGGACTAATTTTTCGAGGACCTTCGACAAGACGGAGAGAATAGAGATGGGGCGATAATGTTCAACATCATGTTTTGACCCAGTTTTATGAACTGGAGTTATATTTGCATGTTTCCACCTCGTAGGAAAAACACCCTCTGATAAACACTTATTATAGATAATGTGCAAAGGCTTATAAATATTTTCAGCAGTTTGTTTGAAAAAGAGTGGAGGAAGGCCATCTGGACCAGGACCCTTGGAAGTGTCTAAATTTTTGAGTTCATTTAGAATTTCAGTTTCAGTGAAGTAAATATCAGAAATTAAAATATCGTGACTTGAGGTACAAGATGGAGGCTGCCAATGCGAAAGAGAAGGGGGAGAGGGTTCAAACACTGATTGAAAGAAGTCAGAGAACATATTACATACCGTCTCGGGGTCGCTGGATTTAAAGTTATGGTAATGCAAAGTGGACGGAATTTTAGTCTCAGTTTTGCGACTCGATACGTAGGTCCAAAAATGTTTTATATTTTTAGTTATATTTTCCTCTATAGTGTCCATATACCTACGATAGCATTGTTTGCATAGGATCTTAAATGTATTTCTGTATTGGGAAAATAGTACGTAGTCACTTGGGTTTTTATATTTCTTCCACTTAGTCCAGGCTTTTTGTTTACATTTAAATGTTTTAATCAGAGGACGTGAAAACCAGACAGGAAATCCGCCGGGGCGAGAACTAGAACGTGGTGCATGTTGTTTTATGATGTCATCTATGCTCATATAAAAGGTTTCAATGCAGGCTTCAGATGGAAGCTTTTGCAGTAGTTCCGTCCAATTTGTTTTTTCAAGCTTGGAATTAATGAGGTCAAAATCTGCTTTACGGAAGTTATACTTGGTTAGAGGGCGCCTTTTCATTGGTTTATAAGTCTGATGCATATCAGTAATCGCAATGAAAGGTGGATGATGGGAATCAGGAGGAAGTAGTGGATCCGTTGGGGCTCTAATAGTAGATGAGGTGTTAGAGATGAAAAGGTCCAGTAGTTTATCATTAGAATTTAAGATTCCATTATATTGCGATGCATTTAGAAATGCCATAAAATTCAACAATAGGGAATGTGTATAGGTGGATCCAGATCCATTCAACGGTAAAGGTTGGTTATAATAATCAGAAGTGGCGGATGATGATGGAACCCATGTCATATCAGGAATATTATAATCACCAATCACATAAAAGCTATCAATAACAGGATCATTAAGGCAATCAAGTAACAGGTCAAAGTGTTTTTCATATGTATCCGGGGAGCTGCGAGGCGGAATATACGCTGCACTAATTACATGTTTCCTAATTTGGCTTGTACTAGGAATTTCGACCAGTAAACATTCAAGATGCTTAGAGTGCAGAGATTTATCCGGGTTTGAGGTGTTAAATATAGCAGGTTTCAGTCCACGCAGCACCGCCACCAGAACACCACCGCCATCCTGTTTGTCGGTAGCTAAGCGGTCTCTGTCACATCTGTAAACCACGTACCTCTGATCTATAAATTCGCAGTTGCCAATATCCGGAAGCAGCCAGGTCTCAGTGAGTACAATGACATCATAATTATTAGATAAGATATTCATGTAAAGTGTGTTTAATTTGGTCCTTATACCTCTACAATTTTGATAATAAATAATAAGATGATTTGTTTGAGTCGTGTTATTCATTTAAAAAAAGAGCATTGTATTATGTTCGTTTTGCTAAGATAGTGTTGAGTGTGAACACGAGCTATTTTTAGCATAAATTTGTGCCTTATTGTACAGTAGAAAGCCAGATTGTAATGGTTATTATCTGATGAGAATAAGATTTGTGTTTTAACTTTAAAATTGACAAATAGTGATAAATTTTCCTGATTGCTAAGACAGACGTGTAAGTCGCTCATTTGTTCTTTTAAGCTAGCATTGAGAAAACTGCAGTCAGTGCAGAAGAGTAAATCAATCAAATACATGAAATGGTAGTAAAACGTTGTAGATATAATTACGACTAGACTTATCGAATTAGTACAATCACTTCTTTTTAGTGATTCGAAGTTTTTTGAGGTCGTCTTCTCCTCGGATGACCAGTACTGGACTGTCGTCTTTCTCTCTAACAAGAATGGCTGAGTTTTTGATCCAGCAATACTTGTAATGAAGTTCCTTTGCAACCTCCCGACATTTACGAAATAACAGTTTCTTCTGTAGTATAAGGTGTTCATTCAAATATATAGTGGTAGATTGGCCCTGAATGCCGAGCTGATCAGACCTCAGTGATTTTGCTTTACGATATGCTGCAATTATATTGTCCCTCTGTATACGTGTGCTGAATTTAGCAATGATGTTTTTAGGTCTATCATTTGTGCTGTGTGCGTGAGGAACCCGATGTATCGACACAATGTCTGCCTTTGAAATGGGGAAGCGGATCGCTGTTCCAATGGCTTCGATGATACCTATAAGGTTTTCATTTCTACGCTCCGGTACGTTACAGATTTCAACATTTGTCTGTCTGGCTTGTTGTTCCAGGGAGTCGATTCTGTACTGTAGTCCTGCAGTTGCTGATGTGGTCTGTTCACCAGCAACACGTGCGATTTCATCGACTCTATGTTTCAAAGTACCATGTTCGTCAGATTGAAATTGAATGGAGTTTTGAAGGGACGATAATTCTATGTTTATATTAGAAACATTTTGTCTCAGGGTGGCTTGCTCCTCTCGTAGAGACTTAATTTCAGATTGGATGTCACTTAAGGTATTTTTAATTTCTTCCCTAATACTCATAAAGTTAGAGTTCATATCATTCTTAATTTCGTCTCTAATACTCATTATGTTAGAATTCATGTCGTTACGCCACAAATTGATAGTATTAAGCAGTTCATTAAATTTCTCGATGGAGTCCGAATCTGATGGTATGTGCGCCTCACTTTTGTTCACAATTTCGCATGATAGGTCCATAGACTGTTCCGTAGATGGTACCTGATTGTGACGTACAGGTGTGCTTAAGTTAGTTTTTATACGTCTTGTTACATTCACACATGCAGGGCAGGTCCAAGAGGAACGAAATTCTTTCGAAAGCGTTACAAACTGCTCCTTGTTTATATTTAGGCATTCATAGTGATAGTTGATATCACAAGTGTGGCAATGTAAGGAACAATCTGTGTTCAGTAATAGACGACAACTCCCCGCAGATCATTTTGCACTTTTTTGACTTCTTTCGGGTTACAAAATAATAATTTAAAAAAAATGTTTATATTTTCCTTCTCCCAACAGAGACAAAAATAAAAGTTTAATTATAAAAAAAGAAAAAAATAATTAATTAAAAAAAAAATAACTTGTGGCGCCAGGTTTCGAAGTATGTATTCCAGATCGCCAGTGTTTAAGTCAATCGGAGATTGCAAGCCTATTAATGCTGGTGTTGACAACGACCTTGATGCTCCAATCTGCAAGAAAGCTGGTGATCCAATCGCACAATTTCTCGGGAAGCTCATAGGAAGGGAGCTTCGAAAGAAGCGCTTTGTGCCAAACCCGACCGAAGGCCTTCGCAATGTCCAAACTAACGGCCAATGCCTCCCCCCTTGGATTCTACTACCTCCGCCCATCTATGAGTTAGGTAGACCAGAAGATCATCAGCTGACCGACTACAGCGAAAACCGTATTGGCGGTCACTAATCAGCAGGTGATCCTTAAGGTACCTAATGAGCTGGCAGTTTACAATAGACTCCATTGTTTTGGAGAACAAGGAGATGGCGATAGGCCGGTAGTTCGACGGGTCTGAGCGGTCGCCTTTTTTAGGGATCGGGTGCACGAAAGCCTTTTTCCATGATTTTGGGACTACGCCTAGGGAGTAGGAGTACCGGAAAAGACGCGTTAAAACCGGTGCCAACTCTGGAGCACACGTCCTCAACACAATTGGGGGGATTCCGTCAGGCCCACTCGACTTGTGGATGTCCAGGGAGAGGAGTGCTTTGCGAACCGAGCGCTGTGTGAACTGCACTTCCGGCATGGAGCACTCACACCGCGGGATGGTCGGCGGCGTACTCCCTCCGTCATCGAGAGTCGAGTTGGACGCAAAGAAAGAGCCTAGCAGATCGGCTTCTCCTTTGCGGTATGGGCCAGTGAGTCGTCCTCCCTGTGCAGAGATGGAAGAGATGGCTGACAGAAATTTCCCTGGACAGCCTTGGCGAGAGACCAGAATGCACGGGTTCCAGAAGGAAGGCGAACTAGTTTCTCGCCAATTCTGCCTATGTGCTCTAACTTTGCCTTGGCAATGACTCTTTTGAAGGACCTAGAGGCGGAATTATACTTCTTTTTTATAGCGCTGGTGTTTACATCCCGGGACGCAATTTGTGACAGAGCAAATGATATATCAGTACTTAAAACTGCAATTAACAATTTCATTCATGCCGGCGGGGATCGAATCCGAATTGCTTGCATAGTATGATAGGCAGCTCGGCTACTATAATAATTACGGCAAGCTATTCCCCTAAGTTATTATGGATCATTAGTATATATAGTACGTGAGGATAATATGGCCACCTTAATCTTTGCCGCCCTATAAAACCAAAACTAGGAGGAAGACAGAGACAAAAATACAAATTCGTGTACTACAACTAATAAATAAAATAGCAAACAAGCTTTAGCAATAATTAGTAACAGTCTGAAAAAATTACTTAAAAAAATTTTACTACACTAAACAATACTAATTTCGACTAAAATATTAACTATAATGTCAACTGTCAAAATGGCGTCGATAAAGCAGCGCCTTTTTGACCCTTTAGTATTACTGATGAAAAGCTATTCTATCACAGTCATCTGTGCAAACCATTGAGCTATTATGTACTACGTACTAGAGGCGACACTGCATTCAGCTACTCTGTTCCACTCAACTGCGGTGCATGCACCGCACTTTAATCAGTCACTCGCTAGGCGCTTGTAGAGTTGTCACGCACGTGTTGTGTTGATTTAAAAAAAATCTCTTGATAAAAATATGTCGTCGTGTGTACTTAGATATTGCACAAATAATTCAAGAAATGTCAGTAAAAACCAAGGAATTACTTTTCATCGGTTAATAAGATACTAACAAATTATTCCTAAGACGCCATCTCGTGTCATGGAATATAGATTATGAAATTAATATGTTCAGATGCGACATTTCTGTGGGTACTTAAGTATAGGACGAATATATTATTATACACATTTTTTTGTAGAAACATGTAGGTATAAGTTATTATAATTAGGCTAAATTTTTCATGTTTAAATCTGCTTATTATTCTTTTATTTTATTTGTAGGTTTCCACCCCAAAGTGAAAATGGAATAAATTCGTTCATTTAAAACTTTTGCGTGCCCAGCATTTATGAACGACTCTTTTTATAATTTAAATAAATATTATTGTAATTTAAATGTTATGTTAGTAAGTTTTGTTAACATACATTTAGAATACAATCTACTATTACCTACGGATCATTCTATCTATGTTTATTCTATGATAAAAAAAACAACACAGAGTAGCGCACATTTTTTGTTTGAGGTAGCTGTTCTAGTACGTAAGACGTAAGTACATATCATAGATAAGTACATATTACTTCAATGGTGCAAACAGGGCTGTAGTTTTTGAGTTACTATATATATATATATATATATATATATATATATATATTTTATATATATATATATATATACAATGAAATCAAAATTACAAATTTTGCAAACTGTGTTTTAATTGAAAGCCTGTGACCAGTTTTATTATTTCGCACGCATGTATATTCACGGGGATAAGCCACAAAGGTCGCGTTTTGATATCGTATCGTTGGGCAATGGCGCTCGCGCGGCGCACTGGCGCGCATGCGCTGACAGACATTTTACCGCCAAACGCCGCACTCGTTGTTTCGTCTCAAAAAATCAACAATTTTTAATTTCGGCATTGATACACTTATTTTTAAATATTAATTTTGTGTTGAATTTAATTATTGACAATCTTTAATTAAAATTTGTTGTGTATCAAAGCTTGTTAGACATTTGTGTGCGTTGTTTGTATATATTTTTTTCGTTATCTTTGAATGTAAAATAATTTGTAATAGAAAAAATGCAGTAAAATTCTTTGGTCGCAATTGAATGCAGTGTAAGTGCTGTGTTTACGTGATGTGTTCACGATGTGGCTGGCTTTTGGACTGCTGTTGCTTCTGAATGATGCGCTCGCATCGAACTCTAGCATCATAACTTTCGCAGATGTGGTAAGCTCATTGAAACTTATTGAAACCCCATCATATGCACCTACATTTCCATTCACATAGTTTGGTACAGTTCACTTAAATTTTATAATGTTATTTTATCATTTGTACAAAATTTTTCATAATACAACAGTTTAGTTTTCTTTTGAAACTGTGATAATACTATTTAAATAAAAGCTCTATTAAAACCCTTCTAAAATCCTTGAAAAAAAAACCGTACGTAAAAGTTTCTTACTACTTAGGACTTAGAGTAAACATGGAATTGTTCATGATTGATTTTATATTTTTTTTAAGTATCTTAATGCAATACTCTTAGTTCATTTACAACATTATAATTTTAATAAATCTAATAACATACAATGTTTCTAACCGTAAAAGTCACAGAATATAAAAAGGAAGTGTCCGAAAATATATTATCGGCACACAATACATATTTAGTACTACGTAGTGGCGGGGAAAGCTCCACGCGTTTATTCAACATGATGTTACTTCATTCATTTAATGTTCAAATGATGTTTAAAAATCATGTTAAATAGTATGTGTGTAAGTTTTGAATTTAAGCGTATAACATTTTTATAAATTATTTTATGGTATACTTAGATAAATGTTCGCAAAGCATATCTTAATAATAAAATAAAATAAACTAAATGTTTAAGTGGTATTGCGTGGTTTTTCTTTCAAAGATTTAATTTCATAAACATTTGATTTTTCCTAATAGATATTAAATGTTCGTTTTCATTTTAATATTTTAAAGTGATAAGTTTTTTTACTATTTAATATTTATATTGCAGCTGTTTCACACTAAGCGAATATAATAATATGTCAATGTTACCATAAAATGAGTTACATTTTTATTTAAACGTAATATTCATTTAGATTCATAAAATGTAAATACATTACGTAATTTTATATGATATGTAAGTCCACTGTGCATAGCAGGTTATTTTATAACCGCCTACTTAACATGTTAAATTAATAATATCAAATCGTTAACCCAATTATATTTTCATTAAGAACGAAATAAATTAATTTATTAGCATAATGTTTAAAATAGAAATACACGTATTGAATAAAACTATTATTTTATCGCCTTTAATTTAAGTTTTTAACTTATTTTTTAATTTCCAACATTTTGAGTGCTTTACTATGGTCACGGGGAGAATGTTGGTAATAAAAAAGTAAATTGAACGTGATTAAATTCTGTAAAATTAGATTTATTTGTTCGAACTCGTATATTGACTATATAAAGTAGAGACAACTCAACGGATCAAAAAAGAAAAGACCTGTAAACGAAATTTTGTACAGATCATCAAAAAAAAGGAGTCTCGCATATACGGCCTTACGTTGTGTTGCTTGACACCTGTTGACTCTACGTACGCGTTTGTCATTTTCTTATAAAGAGTTTATCTGTAAGCGCATTACTTGTTGGAGTCAGAACTTCTAGTTCGAAACCTGGACAATGCCATAGTAGCAGAAGTTGTTGCCTAATCAAGTAGTTGTTGAAAAGTTAGGTAATTTTTATTTAATTGTGCAATATATTGAACACTAAAGCAATGACATATAGGTACAGTTAAATTAAGTAGCCCTCTTGTGTTTTTATGCTCCTACAAGTAGTCACATATGCATTGAATAAAACTATTACGGATTTTATCGCGTTTAATTACTTTAATTTGTTTTTACTATCCCGACGTTTCGGGTGCTTTACAGCACCCATGGTCACGGGGGTCACATATGTCTTCAAATGCCCCATTGGTTTAATGGTCGTCAACGCGGTTGCTAATTATAAGTTCCCTGGTTTGAGTCCCGGGTCGGGCCATAATAAGTTAGGAAAGCACGTAAAGCCGTTGGTCCTGCGTTTAATCTCTCTCTGGTCGTGACAGTTTGCAGTCCTGTCGGAATATGTATCGGAATAGAGAGTGCGCACTTGTGCTATTTTATTTATTATTGCGCAGATGACCGAAATTTGTTTTGGAGAACATTATATCTTTAATTAGTATATTACTGATGAATCTCTCCCGTTTAACAAGAATTAACCTAAATCCTACGCATCTGTTGCGCTGCTCCCCTTCACCGGTATAAATATTTTATAAGGGGCGTACACTAAACGGTTATACCTCCATCTATTGAATAGCATGAGAATTTTTTAAGTAAAACATCTTTACGCACGTTTGACTTGGGGAGTAAGCTGGCGAACGCATGACGAAAGCGTTACGAAAAGTGTGATAGGGCGAGGCAAACGGGAGTTGAGTGAAGATATAAGCAAAGAGAGAGCAGTGCGCGCGTACATTTTCTTTGTCTCTTTCTCTCGTAGCCAGTTATTTTACGTAATTTTATTTCGTTTTGAACAACTTTATGAAATAATATTTTGCTCAATATATTGAATATTCTACGTTTAAAGTTAATAAAATTGTAAATTCATTTTCAAGTTCATGTTTTGTGAATTTTCGGGTGTATAGGAACTACTTATAAAAGGAAGCCGATAATAAAGTTTAAATATTTGTAGGAAATTAATAAATATATATATATATATTTTTATATATATATATATATATATATATATATATGTAATAGGAGTTCGGGCATACGCTTAGGGACTCTAAGAGACGCAAAATAATAAATAGGAAAATTGGACTTATGCGCATTACGAACAATACCATAAACATATAGGGTGAATGAAAATATCAATTAAAAGAGAAAGAGTACATCCCTAGTTTTGACCATCGGCACTTTGATAGTGCCCGGCGTCTTGTTGTCGGTATCATCAAAGTTCGGATAGTGACCTGTCAAAGAAATTTTGCAGCTATTCGGACGTACAAGGTCAAGATATAAGCGCCGGTGGCTTCTATTGATATCGCATACAATCGTCGCCGCCGCACCGCACGCACAACATTTTACATTGTTTGATTGCCGCCACAAAGTACATGTTCCAAAGAATAAAATTAGTTTCCGGGTGCTCAGAATTAACACGAATACATTATGCTGAACTCGCAAGGAATATTGTAATGCCATCAAAAACATAACTTGTAAAAAAAACAAGTCTCGCAACTCAGTTCTTCTACCATAAAAAGTTGTGAGATCCATGTAATACCAAGTCGGTTAATTTATTCAGTCCCTACTTAAGGGTCCTTTTGTTTTAAGTTATTACGTAATTAGCTAACCTATCTATAACTTTCAACATACTTGAAACGTGTAAAAATGTTCTACATTGCTAATCGAATAATATAAATCTCTATATAATATATAAATCTCTATATAACAATATAATATCACAGAACACCATCGTAAAACAGTAGCTTAATGCTGCTGTGTTTCGTATGGTGAGTGTAGAGAACCGGAGACCCTTTTTAATGGAAACGAGGCACAACACATCTGGTGACAACGCATCTGCATTTTCATTCGTAATCGAGGATAGATGTAAATGTCTCTGGGCCACAGCAACCACTTACCATCAGGTGGACTGTTTGCTCGTTTGTCACCCTCTCCTATAAAAAAAACTAGAAATTGCTATACCGATTTGTATCTTATTGTATCTACATATACATTTGACATTTTATGTTTGACTTATCGCTTTACATAACTATAGTACTATTGTAAAAATATTTTGAAAAGAGCAACTACTGAGTTTCTTACTTTCTTCCATGATTCTTCTCAGTAGAATCAGCAACCCTGAACATGGAAAAGAAAAGAATTGGGGAAAACAGTGATTATCTGACTATTCAAAAGTGTATTTTTAATGCCTACTTGAATAAAAAATATTTGAATTTTGAATGAGTAAATTTATAATCGCGCATTTTGTGTTTTCAAATCACACATTTCCAAAAATTGATTAGCAGTGACGTTTTATTTACTTCTATCGTACTCTAGTAGTTAGTAAGTACCTAGATAAATACAGCAATTAACGTACCTAGGCAAATTTAATTTAATTAACGTAGATTAATTCCATTTCCATCACAAGAACATAATATACACAATTCACATCATAAGAAACAGACCGACTCCCGTAGCCGTGGGACTCGGTAGATAGCTCAGGTGGTTAGAGCATCGGCACGGATCGCTTAGGTCGTGGGTTCAAACCCCACCCGGTGTCAGTTGATTTTTCGAATTTCTCATCAAATGTTTAGACATTTATTAATTTGGTTGGTCTTTGATACCATAGAATACTATAATACACAATAGAATGGCTGTCAACTTTATTTTATAGGATGATAGGCGTCGCCGAAAGCACACATACAAGCAATAACGTCGTATTATCACTACTACAAACCCGATTCACTGTGTTGACAGACAGATTTTAATACATATTTATTTGTAAATAGCGTGCAAATTTTCATTTTCTCAATAATTTGCATGTGAAATTTGGAAACGATTGTAACGTCAAAACACATTTCGTGTTGACGTTTATACGTATGAATTGACGTGTTAGTGACATTTTAGTGCTACACGGGATCCGCCCACTCCCCCGTTCTATTACGTGTGTTATAGTATTCTATGTTTGATACGGCTACGTTAATCGAGCTCAAAATGTACCTACTCTGTTAAGTTGTTCTAAGATCTAAAGCAAAGTTTAATAAATAGCAATAGGCTAATAGGTGATTGCGAGACTTGCGAGACTCTTGCTGCAAGGCCAAGACCAAAACTAAGATTGGGAGCGCAATACCAAGACCTAGACCAAGACTGGCCAAGTCTCGTCTTATTCTTGCATTTGGGCAACACTAAATAAGTTTAAAATTTCACTACAACGATGTCAGGTTGAGAAAACATTTTATACAGTAAATGAGTTTTTGAATTGTAGTGATTAAGTGGTTTTGTCGTGTGTTTAAAAATCGCTGCATTAATTAATTAATTTATATGAATTTCTTTATTAATTAAAAATATTATAAAACTTTTGAATATTTGCATGCTGTTGAAAACATCTAAATAGGTTTTTTAACACAATAACAGTGATAACATCAAGAACAAAACATTTCGTAACTATTTAGTTGCAAATAAAGAATTTTAATATG